AAAGAGGGCCAAGGCATTAGCCAAATTGCAATAAGATAGACTCTTGAATGATCTGAATTTGAAAGAGAAGTATACAGCCAGCATTAAAGTAATTAGTGAATTAGTAAAAGTAATTAGTAAAATATTTACTTGCATAAAATAAATAACATTAACACCTAATTTAGCATCATCTAAAACTATGAGATGATTTATTTTCATTATTTCATGGGTGATTCAGACTAATATCTTCATCTTTACTTTGTTTGAGATGAAAATGATTAAATAAGCAGACCCAACATTGAATTCAGTGCAATGTGGATAACTGTGTTCTTCACAGGGAGGGAAAAACAATTCAAGAGCCTTCCTTGATTCTGAATTCCAAACCATAGAGAAGACAACAGGAAACCACTCCTCTATCTTTCCCAAAAATCATGTTAATTCAAAGATACTAAAAGAAAAAGATTCTAGATAAATATGACTGACTACATTTTAAAGTAAAGAAACGTGGGATTTTTAAAAAGTCTGATAAATGTGTAGATCATCACCAAAAAGGTAGTTTTCGGTAGTTTTGTTAATGTTTTGGTGTTTATTCCTAGAAGTTATGCACGAACAAGCAAGAAATCCTTACCAAGAAAAATGCTTTGCAACCAAGGATGCAGGTGTATGTAAAATATTCATTATAAAAATATACATTGGTTTTGAGGAGGGAGGAAAATAAAGTTGGCATGATCACAAGACAGAGTAACTGCCATTGTTGACAGTGAGAATTTGAGTCCACCAGTTGGGGAACCAAAAAAGTGTTGACTGGCTTTAAAGTTGAGAACTTTGTTGAATTGATCTGACAGTTTGTTGAATTTAAACTAGAATAATTTAACAAAATCTCTTATGATTCTTGTTTGATAATCAAATATTGGTGATCTAAGTTTTTGCTTTTCATATCTACCTTAATTTTTGTTCTCAAATTGTCTGTTAAACAAGTTTAATAAAATCAACTTTACTAAATTTTTCTGCATACATGTCACACACCGGGGTCAAGTTGGTTCATTTTATGACATATCAGCCCTTATGTTGGAATGGTCTATAAGCATTTATTTGATAGGTGGCCCCAGGAGATGCAATTTCAACTAGCTTTTTTATTACTTAGGGGCTGGTTAGTTCTTAAAAACAATTTGGAGTGTCATGCTGGACTGTGCTATCATCCTGTCCTTTATGGCATTTCCCTTGGCAATTAGAAATACTTGGTTACACCCTTTTCCTTTCTTATGCAATGCAAAGTCCTGCATTACATGTTAACTGTAGAAGAATCGTTCATCCAACTTAGGATAAGTGTGTCAAATAAACATTAATAACTACTTCTCATTTAACAAAGTTTTGTAAAATGCAACAATTCATTTGGTTATCTGAAGAAAAAATTTGCTAATTTTATTAGATGGCATTGGGAACATTTAGTTTTAAATTCATTCAAAACAATTGATTTTGTGTGCCTTTTCATTAATTTGGCCCGAAAGTTTTTTTCATCTTAGATAACCAAAATTCACTGAATTGTTCTGTGTTTGTTTTTAGATAAAATTTAGTTTTAATTAATTTATTTTATAAAAATCAATTTTTCTATTGTATTGTGACAACATTCATTTAGTCAAAGTGGCATATTTTTGCTGATTAACTCTAATATGCATTTTTATTTTTAAAACATATAAAAATAAAATTCAAATGCAAAATAGATTTCTGCAGTTTTTCAAAGAAGGTGCTGTGAATGATCAAAGATATCAAAAGTGATTTGCAAAGTTTTGTAGTGCAGGTTTCTCACTTAATGATGATCTAAAATCAGGTAAACCAGTTGAGGTTGATAGCAATCAAGCCATTACTTGAAAATAATCAGTTATATAACATGGGAGATAGCCAGTATACGCAAAATATCAATCACTGAAAGTCATTTGTGCCATTTTGATTATATTAGTCACTTTAATGTGTAGTTTTCACATAAGTTAAGCAAAAACAAAATTGTATTTTTATTGAAGGATAATGAAAAGTAGATGGTTTACAACAATATCAAATGCAAGAAAAGTTGGGGTTGAAAGTGAAATGAATTACTAACAAGCATATTAAAAGCCAGTTTTCATTCCAAGAAGGTAACAGGATCAGAAGCATGACCTCTATGATGAATTCCCAGTTAGAATAACTGAAAGCAAATTAGTATCTGGAATTATCTAAAAGAAAAGGTGTAATATTTAATCAGAATTTTATGGATGTCCCCAGGGAAACATAGATGTCAAAACTCTATCTGCTTAATGATTTCTGTTGTGTCCTTCATAACACTTGTATTTCCTGCCACATTGTAATGTTGTCAGAAAGATTACTGTCACTTGACTCCCATGAGTCTGATGCTCATCTCTTTTCTTTGACAGTGCTTGAAATGACAACAAAATTACAGACTAAATTTTTTTTTGTTAGCTTTCAAAGGGTCTTGTTTTAACCTTTAGCACTCTGCATTATTAATATTACTTCCCTTTCCACTGCATTCTTTTTCAAGGCCTCTCAATTGCAGTATCCTTACTGTCAATTTCACCCAAAGTTATTTTCTGTTGCCATAGAAGGATATGACAACACAGCTATGAAATTCAAGCACACTCTTGTTCAGAGATCAGAGTCACCTTCAGTGGCAGGATAAACTTTTTGTACAGCAAATGAAGTCACATACAGAGTGATAAAGGTTAATCATTGAAAAGCCAATTCTGATTCAGACTACGAATAGAAAAAGTCAAGATAATAAAAATAGTTTTTTTTTTTTCTTTCTCTCTGCATTTCATCTGCTATGTTTTCTCTTAGTCTTCACTAAAATGACCTTTATTCTTTGATAAACTGCTTTTGATGATAAAAGGTCTGCAAGAGCTGGAAAGTCTGTTCTCTCCACTGCATGTGTTACTTCAGCACAATGACTCTTTCCCAAAAGAGGCTAAGAGGACATCTGTCTCCAAATTCTGTCCTCACTCTCCATCCCAAAACCTCAGATTCTAACTTTTATATCAATATTCATGCCATGCAATAATCTAAATTTACTGTTGACACCTTGTCAAAGAACTAATTTACAGCTTGCTTCCAAATGCTTTCAGTCAAAATGTCTTTTTTTTAACTTGTTGACAAAATAACTTGCTAACCAACATTTCTGACTTTTTTACTTGTTCAACCTACATCAGCAAGATTATTGACTAGTAAAATCTATCTACTTATTTTTATATCTATTAATCTTTTCCTTTTTCTTTTTCTAAGAGCACCACATTTTTACATTCTTGTGTCCAGATAACCTAAGAATGAAAGCTATCAAGTGTTTTGGTTATTACAGTGGTTCTCTTCTGTGTTTCAGTTGCATACAAAATGGTGAAGACTCCATGTAAAAACTCATCTTGTTGTGAAGACTGATCTCTGTTGACCCTAACCCTATGCATTAGAAGACTGGTGGCCTTGGCAAGTCTGGAGCTGATCTCCTTATTCACATCATTGTTGCTAATATTACTACCCAGATACTGAAAAACCTCTGTCATACTGAGAAATTGGTATGCTACAATGATTGGATTTGGTTGTGATAGCCATTGTCCATCATTTTAGGTTTTCAATTCTAATTCTGAGGCTAGTTTTTGATATTTTATTAATCAGAGAAGTAGTCATCTACTTGCACTTAATCTAATCCTCTGCTTGTAGTGCAATATTGTCAGCAAAGTCCACTGAATAAACTCTAGACAATGTTCCAGATCTAGCCATGTTCTACTAATTACAAACTGTATGGCCATGGCAGAACTATAGGGAAATTAGTTTGTGTGTGTCATGTCCTCATGTAAATGCAGCAGCTCAATTCATGGTACAGAGCCTGAATATTATTTGATGCAATGAACAGTTACACCAAAGTAGTTCAGCATTTTACACAATTATGGCCATTGAACATTTTTTTCCATTGAAGTCTGAAGTTTATGGCCACCAGTTACTGACATTTTAAGCTTGGATTTTCAAGATCTGTTCACTACAATAGTAAGCATTACTGAATCCTGTTTGACAGAGTCTAGAAATCAATTGTATCCCTTGCAGAGGAGTAAGAAACATTCAAAAGGACTACTTTTTAGCTGTGGATGGTGAGCTGTAATGCCTGAAGCTGGGATGTCAATGACAGGTTCAAATGAAAGCCAAAAGGAAGCTTCTAGTCAATATTCTATAAGAACTTGTGGGGAAAATTGTTAAAATGGCCTACCTCGGAAACGCCCGCGAATCTGTGTGTCATGCTAACTCCGATTGCTCAATGGTAAAAAGAACCAAAATGCGGCGCCCATGTTTTATGCCAGGCGGTCTTGGACAGTTAACACGAAATTTTGTTGTCTCATCATTCGCATGCAAATCATGGTCGGTCCTCAGCTGTATAAAGCAGGCACATTTTTGTTTCTGAGTACTGGGTTTTTTGCTCGTGAGAAAGTTGGACGTGTGACACTGTTTTGTCGGTTACCCTCCTCGTGTTTTCCTATCTGCTACTATCAGTTGAGTCATTGCTTTACCACCACAGAACTTTAATGAAAAAAAATACATCAAATGCTTTTTATCATGTTTCATATTGCAAATATGTCTTATTTTAAATTTGACAGCATTAAAAATTGTCCTTTTCATCAAATCACATGAATGGATTTTGATTACAGGAACAGAAGAAATTCTTTAAAAATTGACTTGATAACATGTCAGACCATGGTATGATGGTAAAATAAACAAAATATTAGGTACATCCACAAGTACAAGTTTTATTGCATTTAGTATCTACAGTGTTATTAATAGTAATATTCACATTGGGAGCAATACAGCAATGTGCAAATAGCTTCTGCAGTCAAATATATTCCATAGAGAACAACAATTTATATTCAATTTGCTTATTTTGCAGGACATATACATACAAAAATGAACAATCACACATGTTTATATTCTAACACTTTAATGTAACTAAACAGCATTTTTCTTCTTTTCTTTCATGATTATTTTCTTCTCTTTTTAAGGGCCATTTTCAACAAAGAAGTAGATGGTGAACAGAGTAAGCATATTTTTTATCATAGTAAATAGAAAAAATGCAAATAAAAATTTTTTTCTGTTCATTTTTTTGAGGGGAGAGGGAATGATTTTTATTATTATTATTATTCACTTGTACATTCAGAATAGTATACTCATCTTGGCCATTATATTCACATTTTGGCCATTGTGTCTTCCATCTTTATTCAGGTTTATTTCTTGTCATATTTGATAATTTTCTTGAAATTTTGAAGTGAAATGTTTACTCAATCAGCAAGGAATAAAATTATTTTCATTCCTCTTTCCAAGATGCAGATGCTTATGTGAATTGAAAGACATATAAAAAGAAGTAAAAAATCAATTGATAAGTTTTAGAAGAAAAAATTTGTATTATAAGTAAAATTGAAAAATATAGAAAGATATTTTTTCTTATCTGGATGCCATTTATATTTTTAATCTGAAAAGTTAATTATTTCTGCAATTGCATTAGGCTCATCAATATCCATTCTGATATTATCGTGAGGTTTATCTATTCTTATTCAAATAAATTTACTTTATTTCATAACAAGTTTTCATATTTATTGTCTATTCTATGGAAAATGTAGTCATCAAACAGAATTGAAATTTCATTTGTGACATAAGGAATGCTCCAAAAGTAATGCTTATTATTTATTTTCACAAATACAAGAAATGTGGTGACACTTTTGGATAGAACAAGATTTCAGCTACAAAATATTATATTTTCAAATTGTCGCTATCATTGGCTATGTATTTTTTACCTGCAATAAAGATCTTGCATGCTGAGATCAGAACATGGTTTGTGATACACATTAATGTTGCTACTACTGAAATGCATCACCCAATTCCTGTGTTCACATCCATTGTTTGCTCTCTATAAATGTTCAAATAAGAATCTCAGCAGGTATAGTTTTCTGCAATGACATACTTCTGCTTTGTACACATTTTCATGTTAGACACCATTTTGCCATACTGTGCTCAGCTGCTATTTGTAACAAAGCAAACAATATGGATCACTGGCAAGAAGGTTCAACCTCTACTGCCATACTACCAACATTTGCATTTAATGCATTATTTTCAGTATAAGCCTGGTAATTTGTGTTCACTTTGCACTAGTACCTTTGGAAAAGATATGACTCCATCTCTATTCTCCCCTTAGGTTTGAGTAAATAACTTGAAATCTTTTAGAGATATAAAGGTAGTCGAGTGAAGAGAGATTTACTGTGACAGAAAAAAATGAAATTTAAGCTAAATGAGGTTGGACAGGCATGAGATTGATAACTTTACCCCATAAAAATAACTTGCCACTGAAACCCCAATACTGCACAGGAACCAATAATAATAACAATGTTTCTTTTGACCCAATTGTAAGTTGCTATGAAACTTGAAATTACAATATGCTAGTTCACTTATGGGATGTGTTAGACCAACAAGTTCAATCTACAAAATGTCTACTGTGTAACATGCAGTATTTAAAGGACCTACTGTTAATATACTGGTAAACTAATTTTAGGGGTCTTATAGAGTGCATGCCTGATCGTACAAATTGTTTTGTGGGCACCTGAAGGACTAATAGCTTATTAGACAGGTGGGCATTATCGGTATATTGTTTGTGGTTTTATGTTAATTCTGTATTTTTATTATTTTTACTGACGTCTGAAATGTTTTCTCAATCTTTGTAGGTGATGACAGTTGGCCAGATGATGAGTTTGTAAGTATTTTTTGTTTGTAATATTTGGTTTTATTCTTTAATCAGCAATTGAATGAATTATGATGTTAATTGGTGGAGAGAGAGAAAACCAGGGAAAAATCACTAATTTAATGATAACTGAAATCAGAGATAATGTCTCTTTGTACTGTTTATATATCCTATCAGAAAGGATGTGGATTGATTTCTCTAAATACAGGCAGTCAATATTTTAATTGTGTATAAAATGCCCCAATAGATATGGAACAGCAAAACAGAATTTGATATTCTGGCATTTTCATCTGCAAATGTCTTCATATAAAAATGCTTACATGAAATGATGCAAATAACAGATGATGAGAACTGTATAGATATTTGTTTAGCTTAGTCTGGGGATTCAATTGATGACACTAGCAAATTCTTCTGTATGACTATTTCATTTTGAAAAATTATTAGATCCTAACTTTAATACTCACTGTTGTTATAGGAATCTTGGTAGTGATACTCAAGAAATGACAGATACAACTGAGGAAGGCTGAAGAATGCATTGGCTGGAATATATCATGCTAGTTTCTGAACATTCTTTCATCACATGTCATAATATTGAGTTTTGCTATGAATTGTGCCCTCTTTCTTATTCATGTTTTTCCTTTACCTCTTGGATTTAGCTAAACCCATTTTGTTTTAGAGTTTTCTTTTTCCAATTTTTTATTTTTTGTGCTTAGACAAAGTTTTTGTTTTAGCAAGATATTCTTTGCAAAATAAATATTTTGATTCCTGCTTATTTTTTCATTATGGAGATAATAATTTGTTTCATATTTATGCATGATGAACAATAGGAAAGGGCTTTCAACCAAAATGAAATTTGTTAGTGAGGAACTTCAAGTCATGAGACAATCCAAATATCTTGGTTCAATTATCAGGGAAAAACTCAAAATAAACTCTTCTCTAATACTTGAATCTGTTCTCTCAAAAACTCCTCCCTAGTTAATAAAACAGTCCAATGTAATATTAAGACTGGTAAAACACTCTAAAATTGAAACTGATATAACTGTATTCATGGAAGAAATTCATAATATCCTACAAAAACATAAATTGTAAGCATATATACACTGCTGGCTCCCAAAATATTGATAGTTGGATGTTCAGCTATATTGAATGAAAACATATTTCAAAAGCATTTACCTGACAAATCCTCAATTTTTAGCATAGAAGCTATATCAATAGACTTAGCTTTGGACATTATGACAGATAGTGAGTCAGAAAGATTTATTATATTCTCAGACTCCCTATCTGCCTTACATTGCTGAAGTATAAAAACCTGACCAACCCTATTATAGTGAAACTTTGAAACAAAATCAATTTACTTTGTAATCAAAAACACATCATATTCTGTTGGATCTCTAACCATATAGGCATCCAGGGAAATGGAAAAGCAGATAAAGCAGCGAAAGAATCACTAAAAATGAATATATCAAAAACAAAAGTTCCTCATACAGATTTCAAAACAGTAATTAATATATGTATATCTTAAATAAGTGGCAAGATTTATTGAATACTCACCCAAATAATTGTGCAAAATCAAACCTACACTTGAGATAAGACACCATAACACCAGACTTTCCAGAAGAGAAGAAGTCTTAACAAGAATCAAAATTAGCCATACCAATATCACACATTCTTTTCTCCTAAAAGACAAGGATCCATCTAAATGCATAGTATGCCAGAAGATATACACCATAAAACATTTTATGATGGACTGTGCTGAATTTGGCCCTATCTTTAAATGCCTTTTATAAGATGAATATCCTTAAAGATCTTTTTGAAAATGTTACTAAAGAAACCATTTCGACCTACTTGAAGAAAAGTATACCAAAATTTAATCCAAACAATTTCACCTTCAGATGAACGAGACAACTAGCTCCCAATTATATTTCACAAATTTTTAAACTTAAAACTTTGTAAGATATTATTGAATAGAAATCTGATTTCAACATTAAATGGCCCAAAAGGGTTGATGTGCTGGTAAAATAAACAAACCAAATCAATCCAAACCTCCTTTTTATCACTTTCAGAAGTAATCAACCTCAATCTCCACAAAGCATCTACATTCAGAATAGTATTGCCTTTCATGTACTCAATATCAAAGTCAGATGCCATTAACATTATGGCCCATCTTAAACTTCTAGAAGATGTTTCCCTAGGAAGTTACTTCCTAAGATTAAATATGAATTCTAAAGGTCTATGGTTGGACCTTAGTAGAAATTTCTGTCTAATCAGAAACTGACAAGCTCTATTTGTCATTCATATTATGGCCAACACTCTCCTTTTTCAAGATTTGAATAGTTCAATTCATCTTTTGACAATTTTCTCAAAAGATACATATAAGTGAAATGAATATTAGTGAATTGATCCCTACTGTTAGTGTGCTGATGGCCAACAAAACATAAGAGCTTGACATGATAGTGATTGAAAGGTAGAACCAAACTAGATACAGAGAAGATCCAGTCGAATTTAAGGGATGGGTGAAACAAATTCAGAACATTTAGCAGCCAGTGTTTCAGATGCAAGGGTCTGCACATACTGCATGATTGTAAAGACCTGCTAAGATCCAAACCAATCTGTTTTAGATGTGGTGAGACAGGACATATTGTGAAATATTGTTCACAAGGAATTGGACTGAGAGAAACCAATGCACTGGTGACTACTACTTCATTCCAGCAGTAGTGCATCATGGATCACAGTGAATAAGAGAGATATTGGTAGCGGGGAGCAGGGTAAATACCCTTGTTGATACTGGCTGTATTACCACTCTAATACTATCCAATCTAGTGGATAAATGGAATGGGCGGTTGATAGGAGAGAAGTGAGATACAAAGGAACTTACACTGTGGTGTTGGAAGTCTGAGGTCAGCAACTAAATCCAAATGCCATCATAATTGACTGTTTGATTACAGGTATCAGCACTGTGTTGAGAATAGATGAAGATCATTCATCTTGAAGGAGTTGCCATTAATAAAGATGGTACTGTGGAGTTTGGTGAGAAACATTGTGTGATGGCAAATTACAGATGACAAAAGGAACACTTGTTGAATTGAAGATAAAGACTTCTGTGCAGTTCAATGGTAAAAAGTGAATAATTGAGTGGAATGGGGCAGCAGGGCCTCCAGTGCTTAAGGATAAAGTGGCGTCTTACACAAAGTCAACAGCAGGAAGAAGAGATAGCAGAATTTGAACAAGAATTGAAGAGGTAGATTGAAGAGGGAATTCTTACTCTGTGGACAGAAGATGCAACAACTGGAGTGTTGCCACTAATGGTGTGTTAAGTATTGAGTATTCTGCTTGTGTCACCTGTACCACTTTCTCTTTCTACTATACACCATGAACATCATCTACAGAATTACTACTGACCTCTAGCGAGCAATGTAGCCACTTATATAGTAAGCAGCAAGTGTTAATACATTTGCATAGTTGTGAGGTTCATTTTATCAAATCACAGTTGTAGCGCATACATGCTTGTAGTCCTTGAACCAGATTTCCTGTTACAGCTGCAACAACTCTAACATGTTTCATACTAGGTAAGCCATCCTCTGTGTTTCTACACGTCCCCCTGATATCCTGATTACACAAGTTATAGCCGGGTTGGGGGTGAATTTTTTTGGTCACTTCTGTCTTATGTTTCTCCGTAGTGAAACCAAAGAGGTTTGTGTATCTAATGCGGGAGGACCATCTGTTGAGATGAATCAAACAGGGGAAGTCTCTTCATCCAAGTCTAGTGGGTCATCATCATCTGTCATATCACTGGGCATTTGTATGGAATCCATGTATTCTACTATAGATCCTGCTTCTGATGACTCCCTATCTTTACCATCCTCCATGCTCTCGCATTCCGAGGACTCACTGTCATGGTCCACTCTCTTGACAGGGCAAAGGTCTCTAATGTGGTGTGGCATCCAGTTGACCAGAAATGAGAATAGACCATGGTGTCCAGTCACCACCCGCTTTCCAAATTTAGACCTCCAGTTTTGTAGGTTGCATTCTCCTTGCATGCTGGTGGAGTTGCAATATCACTTTTACCCACACCTGGTAGGTGTAGATTCCATTTCCCAGGACTGTGGAGGCTAATGTATCATCCTTCAGTGTTATATTGTAGAGATATACCACTTCCTCAACAGAACACTGCTTTCTGGCAGCAATCCACTTGATGGTGCAATAGCAGTGAAAAAGGAAGAATAAAGGAAAGCAAGAAGCATGTGAGAAACGAAGAGATATAAATTTGTTTACCCCCCACCCCACAATAAAAAAAAAAAACTCACAAGATCCTCCCAGAGTAACAAATGATTTAAATATGTACTACATCTAATTAGACCAAGTGAAGGCAATAATTAATGTCATAATAATCCTTCAGGATAACTCTAACCCTCCCCATGTTTCATTGAAACCAAAAAGAAAGAAAAAAGAATTACAACTCACCTGGGAAGTTTCCACTCATCTGCTTCACTCAACAAATAATATTTTTGCTTCTTAATAAAAAAAAAATTCAATTCTTTATAAAACTGTAACTTCATTTTGAGCATTTGCTTGCTAAGGAAAATAAATCATTCTGTGGTGGGATATCATTTTAAAGTAGATACCTCCAAAAATTTGCTAAAAAAAGAGCATACCATGATGAATAAAGGTCCCAAACTTGTTAAAAATAAAGTTTTATCATAAAAATGTTTGTTATTATTAAGAAGAAAGATGAAAGTATTTTTTGATTAAAAATCTTGTTTTTCTTATGTCAGCAGGTGGGCCAAAGACTAGTATTGGAAATTTTAAAATCTTTTTTGGCATTAAAAACACATTTTGTTTTGGAAATTCTTGAGAAAAATCAAATAATTTTCAGCACTTATTCACAAATGAATGAAATTATTTTTGAATTTTACTTAATTTTATGAAATCTTGAGAAATTAAAATTTCACCATCTTCATATTTATATGAGTTAAAAGCAGAACACCTTGGAGAATTTAAACCATCAATTTGTTTTTGTCAAACATAAACACCATTTACCAAAAATCTGCTCTGAATTGTAAAATAAAAAATGGAATAAAACTAAGACATTATTCAATTAGAAAAACTTTTAATTGCTTTTATGAATAAGATATATTATGGATACTATTGTCTGAAGAAAAATTTTTTGATGAATAAAGAATTTTTACAAGAATTGTTTTCATTTTTTTAAAATTTTAAATAAGATAAATTAAGTTTTAAATATTTTAAAATTCAGTATTAATTTCACCCTTTTAGTTGCTATTAAGTAATATCTATATTTACTAATCATAAATGAAAAGCTTAGTAAAATCATCAAACACCAATAGCTTTAAAAGAATTTTGAATTGTACACTATTTACATTATTCGGACTATTGTCACAAAAAATAATGCTGGCAATGCTTACATCAACCTATTAAATATTAAAAATATATATAGATAACTATTTTCTAGTGAGCTCTGCTCTAATATTAATGCTTCATTAAAATTTTTCTAAAAACGAAACAATTCTTGCTTTGATGAAAATATAAGCATTTATACAACCTTTGTATTTGTTTTTTTAATTCTAGGTTCTACTTACTTTCTAGTATTACTTTTCATATAACATAAAATTCTTTTCTATAAATAAGACTTGTTTTTTTAAATTACAGTCTGATATTGAATCTGATAGTGAATCTGAAGTGGCGACTTCAAAAGATGAACACATTTACAATGATATCTCTGCAATAGATTGTTCTAATGATGCTGATGGTGTTAGAGAAGATGTTTATGAAAATTATGATTCAGGTAAGAAAAGAATAAATATTATAAATGCGAGATTACATATGGAAGAATTTTTTGTCTTTTGCTCCTTAAAATAAATCCTTGCAATTTTTTTAATATTTGTGAAAGATTACATGGTTAAACCGAGTTCTAAGATAACCATTAATTGATTTTATTTTATTGTATATGGATCCTAAATTCTGAAAGATATTTAAAATATGACAGCAATTTTAAAAAGCATGATTTTATGTAATCATATTTTATTAACAAACACATTATGGGTAATTAATGTTTCAATGTTTATTTTGATTATCCTCAGAACATTGTCATTGAAAGTAATATGATATTTTGATATGAGAAGATATTTGAATAAAACAAGAAAAATAACTAAAGAGAATCAAATGTAAACTATAGAAACTGATGAAATCAAAAGAATTTGGAACAAAGTTTCAATGAATGGATGCAATTTTAAAATATGGGTAAAAAGTGGCAAAAGACATGGTTGTTTCATAATCATAGACAAAGATTTAAAAAAAATATAAACTATATTTCTTAAAAGTTACTTTTAAAATCTCTTTATGTGACATATTTTCAAACATTGACAACTGTCTGCAAGTTTGGTAACATTAGAATAAAAAGGCAAATGAGTGTCCAGAAGTGTTTCTTAAGTGTCATTCACAGTGACAAACAGTTTCCTATGGACTTGGTCATAAAGAAAATATGTATTTGTTATTTTTTTAAATTTTCTTTTGCATCTTATTCTTCAACCCTTAAGTCTCTTGTTTTTGTACATGCAATTGAAAAAGATATGCAACTTCCTTTACAGTTTCTGCTGAATATGATTTTCTCCTTGTAATTTTAAGTTTATTTATAAAACTAAAATAAAATGTTTTTAGTGACATGGACAAAATAGACTTTTCCTTTTTTGCATGCTACTTTTAGTAGTTGCTAAATTGAAAACATTGGTAGAGCAAGGAATTTTCAAGCATGTTCCCCCTGCTGGTAGCAATTGGGCCTCACCCATTGTTGTTTTATGAAAACTGGATGGAGATTTAAGGATATGTGGGGCTTACAAAATAGAAGTAAACAACAAAATATGTTCTGATTCATGCTCCCTGTTCCTAACACTGAAACTGCTATTCAGAAGTTATTGAGAATTAAATGTTCTTTTATGTGCCATGTCCCTTCAGGATGTAGGTGACCATGGCTCTCCACTTCTTTCTGTCTCTTGTAGCTCTCAATAAGTTTTTTTTTTTTTTATATTTTTCCCAAACCCTGTTCTGCCATCCACTTACTTAAGCCTATTAAGTATGTCATGCAGTTAACGGCCAACTAACTCGAGGAAGTGTCTCCATAAGCCACCATGGAGAAGGCAACAGGAAACCACTCCACTATTAATCCTAAGAAATACCATAGCAAATAACACACCTAAACCTAACGGTGTGAAGTGGGTTAAGTCTATGGGAATTAAATACTTTCCTAAAAGTGACCTCAAATCTGCCTATAACCAGATATATATTGATGAAAAATTTAAAGTGGTCACTAACTAACTCTCCAATAGGCTTACTCAGATGGAAGCGTAAGCCTTATGGTATCAAAACAGTTTGCTATTTTTTAGAGAGCCATTGAAAATGTATTAACTGGTGATGTTAAGAATATGATCATCTATCAAGATGATATATGTATTGGTGCTACCAGTAGAGAAGAGCAAAAAAAAAACAGAATCTGTTTTAAACAAATTAAGAAATGCTGGGATGATCATAAACAAGTATAAATGTGTGTTAGATTGTGATACAATAATATATCTGACATAACAAATTTCCAAAGGTGGAATTTCACCAAACACAAATTTGGCAAAGAAGATAGTAGAAGTATTGTATCTAGACCTAGAAATAAAAAAGAATTGGAATCTTTTTTTAGGTTAGCAGATATTTACTAAAGTATAGTGAATTGATAAAACCCTTTGTGGAGTTAGGGAAAAAAAAAGGAGTTACCTAAAGTCATATTTCCTAGAATTTTAAGATGGCCCATAAAGCTCATTTTTACTTTGACATTGAATACCTGAAATGAAATACTCTTGCACATGTCCTTGAGGACATCCTGAAGTGGCATGGCATGTGGAACTAGAACGATCTACCTCAGTGGACGAAATAAAAGGGTTCAGTTCAAAATTCCAATCACCAGAAGAAGGCTGAAGCATACAATGGCTGAAACATCATGAATATAGCAACAAAGATGAAGACAACAGTTAGAACAATGTAAATAACAAATGTAACCTAGTCTACATGGCAACACAGCACCATTTACCATAAACTTTAAAGAATGTTTATAGTAGATGGAGTTATTATCAACTCAAAAAATGAAGGATTTGCAGACATATGTTTATATGGACTTTTGTTCTTATTTTGTGAGGAACACATCTCCAAACTTTGTAAAAGTATTTTTGATACACACTTTATATACACATACATTATAGGTAAAAAGTTTGAGGAGCATCGAACCACCCCTTAATTGCTGTTGTTCCTAGGTCCACCCTGACCCGGGATGGTAGCACCAGCTATAGGTAGTTTATCCCCAATCTGGGATCAAAATGCTATGAAAGGATAGAAATAATTTTTGTCAATCTGTCTAGTTGTCAAGTGACACAGATTCTTTTCTGCCATTTCTCAGTCAAAAAGTTGAAACAGGACTCAGTCTAGACAAGAAATAAAGGAAGAAAAGAAAGAGGAAACAAAAAAACATGTCCTTTAATAAATTGATCATAGGTCTGATTTAACATTCAACACTGAGGGCCATGTCACAGTAAATAGAGACAATTGGTGAGTTTCCTAGAACTAGTGAGTGCTGTCATGTAGGCCAGGTGTGACATGTTTTTTTTTTATATATATATATACATAAGCAACGGTAAAATCACCAGATAATGAAGAAAAAATATACATAGGAATAAATGAAGGACCCTGGAAACAAAGAAACTATGACATATTTCACAAATGGTAACTATGCAAACAGCACAATGATTTCTAAGTATATCTGGGAAATTAAAAGCAAAACACAAACCACACCAAAAACATCATGGAAAATAAGGAAAAGATCATCAGCCCACAGCAATCAATCCAAAACCTGCAAACTTTGCTTGGAGGAAAAAATAGCTATTATTACCTTCCTAGACCAAAATAAATTACTAAATAACGATCTGAACTCATCTCATAAGGCAAACATGAAAACAAATTTTTACTATGTTACTTAAAATTCAAAAACTGAAAAGAATAAAAATAAACAAAATAATAATAAAAACAAGTAAAATAAATTAACCTAAGCAAATAATAAACAAATTAACAAACTACTCCCATCAGAATAGATGAAATAGAATAAATAAAATAAAAAATAAATAAGAAAAACAAGTAAAAATAATCAAACCAAATAAATAAAGTAAGCAAATAAACAAATTAACAAACCAATCCCACCAAAATAACTTAGAATAGACTACAACAATCAATCCAAAAATTGCCTAAAAACTTCTATATAAATGATCAAAAAAAAATTTACGATGTTGCTTAAAAATCGAAAGCCAAAAAGAGTAAATAAAAATGTACAAAATAAAAAATAAATAATTAAGAAAAAACAAGTAAAATAAATTAATCCAAATAAATAAAATAATTAACAAATCACACCTGTATAAATAACTGTTAGAATAAATAAAAATAAATAAGTAAAAACAAGTAAAAATAATCAATTCAAATAAATAAATAAAATAATAAACAAATTAAAAAACCACCACCTGCCAAAATAACAGTTAGAATAGACTACAGCAATCAATCCAAAAATTGGGTGAAAAACAGGTTTAATTAACTTCCCAGACCAAAACAAACTATTGAATAAATGATCTAGACAAATCTCAAAAAATCTTTACTACATTAATAAAACATCGAAAACCGCAAAAAATAAATATATAAAATAAAAAATAAATAAAAAAACAAGTAAAATAAATTAACCAAAATAAATAAATAAACAAACCACTCCGGCAAAATAACCACCAGAATGGACTACCCACAATGCACCACTGACCTGTATATACAAATAGTTGAGAAAAAACCCAACACACATGGCCTGACGATTGCATCTAGCATGAAACAGCCTGTCGCCTCTGAGTGTTGACATGAATGTTCACTTTTGTATTCATATATATATATATATATATATATATGTATTAAAAATAAGTGATAGACTAGGAAAACTTACAGAAAAGGAGTGCTACATCACTATTAAGGACCACAAACCAGATTTCGAGGAAAACCTTACTACTAGAATAATAAACCCAACAAGACCTGATGTTGGAAAAATAAGCAAAAAAATTCTAGAAAGGATTACCAAGCAAATTAAGGATTACCTAGGATTAACACTCTGGATTGATACCAAAGAGGTCACCAAATAGTTTACCCGTATCAACAACAAGCCAAATTGCACTCTAATACAGTTTGATATTGAGGATTACTACCAGTCAATGTCAAGAGATCTATTCATGACTGAAGTTTGCTATTATATATTCAGACCTAACAGAAGAAGAAAAAAACATAATTCTCAATGCAAAAAATCTGTCCTCATTCATAATGGGGACTAATAGATTAAAAACTCTGAAGACCATGTTGACATCACAATGAGATCATTAGACTCTGTGAAGTCTTCTGACCTTCTCGGTGTATTCATATTATACAACCTAACTGTGCACCGTGAATTAGATATTAAAAACAATGACTATAGAGTGATGATGGCCTCATGGTAGTGAGGAGTTACACTAATTTTAAAATAGATAAAATTAGAAAGATAATATATAGTGAATTTAGAAACCTAAATTTAAAAACTACAGTCAGCACAAAATTGAAAAGGGTAAACTTCTTCGACATAACATTAGACTTAATGAATAACATATACCTACCTTACAGAAAACCCAATACCAATCCCTTGTATGTACACTGCAGGTCAAACAATTCTCCATCTATAATTAAGCACATATCCTCATCAATAGA